TAAAAATTCGTTTCGAGTTCAAGGCACTCTTAATTCAGACCTAGCTTGAAACGCTGGTGATTGTTGCTCGGTCTCCATGCAATTATGTTCACATTTTTGGACTTATAAAGAGTCTGGCTGTAAAGTAGTTCCATTAAGAATATTTTCAACTTTCATTACGGTGATAATATTCGCGCTTTCGCTTTCTCTTAACCAGTTTGATCATAATCATCCGCCTTTTTCGATCTACTGTTGGATAAAGGACTCTCAAAGACTCTGCCATAAGATTCTGTTTTCTACCATTTCTGTCCAACTTGACCCAGTGAACTTTTTTACCTCATCCTGCCATCGATCTGGAGGTCTTCTTACGGGCAGTTTATTTTTTCTTGGAATCAAGTCTAATGGCCTCAAAAGTCCAACAAAGGTCAGTCCTGTCCATTGCCACTTTAATTTCTTTACTCGGGCAATGACATCGCAGACTCTTTTCCGCGCTCATATCCATTCATTCGTTTTCCAGTTTTTTCTTGTCATTCCAAACACACATCTTTCCAATTTATGAATGGCTTTAAGACTGATGGTCCACTCCGCGTGCTTAATTCAAGTTCTAATTTTCTGTTGATTTTACACTGTTGGTTCCCCGCTGCAGAGATGCAGTGTTCCAGAAAGGCATAGTTTCGCTCCTCTGCCTAAGCCTAGGTCCGTCGACTGCAAGAGGTCGCATGGTCACGTGTCTGATAATATTTCCTCAGGTTCATTTTCAGCCTACTTTAACACTAGCTCATTCAGCTACTGAATTTTTTGGAATTCTTCTGGATTTCGGAAAGATCAGAACATCTGAAAACCGATCTACACCTTGTAGATCGCTTTTAAGCGCCTTTTCTCTTGCCATATATTTCATTTTCTAAAAGATTAGTTTCTGATATCTTTATTCAGCAAAACGGCAGCCAGTTGCATTTAAATTGTTGTATTCTTACCCTGTAGATCTGTGCTCTCTGAAGCATCAATAAATTCATATAATTTACTCACAAAATAAAACTCAAAAAGCAGGGAATTCACGATTGTCCAAAGAACTATCAGGTGATATCAGTACGAGATGAACTTTGATTTTGGCAATCTTGCACAAGTGTTTCAGACAGTCAGTGAGTTGCGTAGATACACTTGTCGATTGCCATGAGGAAACGGCACTTAGATAGCAACAGAGCTTCAATAGACATCCGTCAAAGGCAGCTTATGCTCTTTGTACAGCAATTGCCTGAACGTCGATTCATGTACGTAGGCAATGCCTGAGATAATCAATCAGCACTAGTAGTATTCTCGAAAGTACGAGCATTGTTTCAGACGCTTGCTAAATGGAGCACTACGTTCATTCATCAAGGTTTGTTCATTCGAGCCGCGACATTCCATGGCCGGGGCGGCGATGGTCTTGTCGTTTCGACTCAAATTGTTTAATTTGGCCCTACTGCGCAGCAAGCACTCACTTCCTCGGTTACAGTCGTGCATAACAGAAACACCAAAACCCTTTCATTAATCGCCCGTTGTCAATCTGACCACTAACGCTTAATTACTGTTGGTGCTGCTTAGTGCGACCACGGTCATACCGAGCGGGAAGCCGGCCTCCCGTCAGTTTCGTTTAATATGAATCAGCCTCGCTTTCTTGGCGAGAATGTTATGGCTCGATAGACTGTTGCTGACCCTCCGCTGAGTAACGGCTGCCCTCATTGTTACTAACATTCGTGTGAGTGAACAAACGCGTTGGTAAGGTGACTTTGTTTCGGCATATTCAATCGCGACTTTCACAGTAGGTCAGGCGCGGATTATCTCCTGTCGCCGTTCCGTTGCTGCTACCTACTGGGATTAGCTTTCGAAGGGCAAAGCAAGTATTGAGTGATGGCGAGTTATGGCGATGGTTATGATGATTCGCTCTATCGTCTCATCTGGGCCATCGTACAGAGGTTCTGCTTCTTCCAGTGTGAACGTCGTCGTCGATGAACGTCCCATTAGTTTCTGCGAGACATGCGCCGTTCCGACAAATTTCTCAAACTCCAAACTTTCCGACTGAGCAGCCATGTCGGCAGCAGAGCAACCAATGAGCGGCGAGTTGAAAACGGCGCCTGAGGTTTATAGTTTTCATCCTGAAGTAAAGCACACCGCGAGCGCCAGATAAGCTGCAAGCGTCGACGTGCCGGGCGAGGAACACGAAGTTGCGTAGAGGTTTCATCATTGGCAGCTGTGACAACGATGTGTACCAACGCCAGGCTTTAAAAAGCGTGAGTGAACGTCGGTAAATGTTGCGAGCCTTGTTCGTAGTCTAACTTTGTGTGCCTTCTACTTATCGTGGTACGTCGTCACCGTCAGAGTCAGCTTGCTGCGCGCGAGGGTTTACGACCGCTGGTGCTACGATCCAACTGTATCAGTTGTGCAGGGACTCTCAACCTCGTCTGTTGGTGCCTCTTCTTCGAGCGTTGTATGTTCCCCCATTCGGTAACTTGCCGTCAAGTTGCAATCAGAAACCGCAGTAAGACTTTAGCAGAGAAGCTAGAAGTGTCCTAAC